TCTTAGTCTTTACCACTTTTTAGAAACCCGTCTCCTAACTCCGAGACTTGTCTTTCACCGTGTAATGATATTGGACCTATTCTTTCCCTCCCCCCGACTGCAATGTGTCGGCCCATATCCAACCTCTTCGCGAGCAGTCGTAAAAGTAATAAAAAAGGATAGACAACGACAAAGGGTAGTAATAAAAAAGGGTTGTCAAACAGGAAAGAAAAGTAGGAAAAGACGAAGAGAGAGTTAAAGAAAGAGAGTAGAGGTGGGAAGACGGTAGAGTTAGTGAAGAGAGGAGGAGTTCGAATTTAGGCAAGGAAGAATAAGACGAATATCGTTAACTGCATGGGATCGAGTTTCTACCGTACATGATCAAAAGCGATAAAAAGTTTGGTTTTGGTAAGACATTTCACTACTTTAATTTAGTACAACAAACCGGCAGAAAGAAATCCGTCAATGCAGGCTAAATTCGATACACACCACATTTCTTCTCTTAATTTAAAACCTTCAACTTCAATTCTGTAAACTGTTTTACTTATTTTCTGAAATCTTTCCTATCAATAAATGTGAAGTATATAAATTATCTACGAAGTTATTCAAAAAACTTGTTAATACGCTTCTTCGAATACAATTTCTTTCAAAGACTTTCTTTTATAAATCATATTTTCCTACGTGAGCTTAAAACACGACAAGTGTCCCGATGTTTGGCATTGCATGATTTTATAATCGTACTACGATTTCTAAAACTCAATAATGCTAAACTGCCTAGATAGAGGGAAAGTGATATAAGAAACTACGACAGGGGCAGCGTAAGAACGTGCCAATAGAATCCGGTGTGGTAGGTGGAAATAAACCAAATAAGTTGTTCTAGGTTTACTCGAAACGTACGCTACCTGTTCATTATGAAACTGACGCTAACTGCGAGTATAATATAAGACACTTCTTTGGGTCACCCGTCACGTTGGGGACCAGTGGATCGATCCGGACAAATCGAAAACTTTTCAGCAAGTTTTCAGGATATGTCGGGCTCCGTCTCTCGCCACCCTGTTGGATCCATTGCGGTCCTAGGCGAACCTATAATTGGCCTGCTAAAAGAAGCCCAGTTAGTGCCCGGAGGCGGAAAAAGTTTTCAAAAAAAGTTACTCAACTTTTTAATATTAAGGATAATCGCTAATATAAAAAAAGGATATTAATTTTTCGTATGTTAAACGACTTCATATTGATTTAAAGTTTGCTAAACTACCAGCAATGCTTTTTATGTTACGTCTTTATGACAACCCCGAATCTAATTTATTCAGAATGTAATTGAAAAACTGCACATTTTGTAAATTCCGATAAAATAAAGTGGAACAACGAAAGCTTTCGTAAAATTTATTAGATGAATTTTTAATCATTATTAATATTAAACAATTTTGAACTCGAAATTCTGCAGCATAAACCGAAAACACCCAATTTGCCGATTAAACTAATATTTTTCTTCATTTAATTACTTTGCTTCAGCTTTAACTGCAGCCTTTGTCGGTGAGCTAAAACAACAACACGTGAGTAATTCATTTGCCTAAAACACCAACGAATTGTTAAACAACAAAGAACAACCTGGTGGAAACTGCAGACTTCCCACTCTCACAAAGCTCCTTCAGGTCTATCAAACTCACTTGCAGATTCCGTGCAAATCTCTCCGAGTCCGTAGAGGCGTATTTGAAAGACGAAATGCAAAAGACGATACGATTCTCCTGAGGATTGTACGAACATCCGTATCCGTCGGGCACTACGGGACCGTATCCAACTACGATGTCGTAGGTCGTGGGAAGCTACAAAAGCCAATCAATTAATTTTCTTCCACTCGCTACCAGTTAAACATTACATAGAAAGATGCCCGACCTGACTGGTCGATAAACGGAAATCCAGGAACTCTTTGTAATAATCTGTTTGATAAAGTGCGGGTTCTTCTAAGCCGTGTAGAGCAGCCATTTCCTTTAAGCACAGAAGATGGTTATCCGGTCCTTCTCCGTTGATTGTCTGAACAATAACATATATTATCAAATTATAAAATTAATAAGTAGTTCTGTTGATTCATTTACGGCTTTCTACTACTTACGTAGAGAAGAATTTCGGTTTGCTTCTTCACGGCTTTTTGAAATTTCTCCCATTTTTCAGCCTAAAGATAACGAACGTGTCAATATGAGTAAGTTTTTGTAATAATTGAAAAATGTGCATTCGACTGACCTGACTCAGGGAAGGATCTAACATGGACTTTGAGAAATCAAAAGCCTCTTGGCTGGAAGCGCGGATGTTGTCGATGCGACCGAATCTGAATTTCCTCAAAGCGGCACTTTCGTAAGTGGCCGTCATTGTGACATTCATTCTGATGAAAAAATAACAGCATTGTTGATTTAATTACACTAAAATAGGCATTAAAAGAAAGAGAATCGTCGTTTAAACTAACCTGTAGTATGTCAACTGCAAACACAACTGAATGAACACATCTGGACTAATTTTTTGTTTCTTCGGCAAACCTTTGCCGTATTTGTCAAATATAAAAACATTGAGTTCCAGCGTATCGATTAATCTGGAAATAATGTTTACAGACAATATTTATACCTCCTTCAGACAATAATGCTCTTTAAGTATTAAACGAAACTAGGGGCAAATCCTAACCAAAATTTTTGGAAATGCCGAAAATGATAATAAAAATAATAGTCTCCAGCACTAAACACTAGGCAGAAATGTTATTTAGTGTGAATAAAAAAGTACTAGTTATTATAAAGCCCACTATATCTACACATTAAGCCCTATTAATGTCTATATAGATTCGCCTGTACGCAATACGTGTATGCTGACAGGGTACCGGAGCTTTGTTTTAAAATGTGCGTGACGAATTGAGACGAAATTGCCACGACTTTTGTTTCTAATTACAACGAAATTTCTCTCGAGAAATAATCATAGATTTCGCAACATTTATCGATTGATAGAATCAACGGAACCTACTAAATTGTGAATCAATATCTAATTATGGAAATTGCATGTAAATCAAAGACTTTTCGAACAAGAACACCATATACATAGAGAATTTACGAGGTTATACATATGATAACTTCTAAGCAGTTATGATACTAAACATTGGCAAAGAACGAATTAACGTTTTTTCTTGTTTACTTCGCGTCAATAACAATTATTATTCGCGGATCGTCAAAATTACAGTATCTTACGCGTCTGTAACGACCGATGCATTTTTGATCTCTTCTTTGACAGTTTCGTCGAGGTCCCAGATGAGTCTTCTGACTGTCAGTAGATCGTCGGACGATCTCTTTGGCTGATCTTTTCTCCTGCAAAAATTATAAACACTTTACTTTCATTCCTAATGCTGTATTTAATTGAAAAGATAAAACAATCTTACAGAAAATCCAGAAATTCTTCGCAAAATCTTAAAACTGTAATCCCTTCCGACACCGAATGTTCGATCACGATTCCGTTCACACCATTTTTGGTCACGATAAACTACAGAAAGGCGAGAGTAAACAATCGGGCATCGATTTATGTACCATGTTATAGGCAAATTAGAGGAATGTAGTTAATTTATTATGGTTTTTTTTAATTAGATCGAAATTCAGATATATGTAAAAACATAATAACAATCAGGTGAAATTAATATAAAAGAAAGTATTCGTTGTTTCGTATTCGTATGCAAACTGCTCGATACACTTCGGTTAGAATATAAAAAAACTCAACTATACGAAACACAAAACGTTCAAAATATAAATCGCATTGTGAGATTACTTCCGTGTATTTACTTACCACAATTGATTTTTGAATGAATTTACTGGTAGATATGTTACCGCTAAAGCTCGAAATCCGTTAATGTGTACATTACCTAGTTAATCTGCAAATTAACTAGGGTGATCCGTTAAAGCTGCGAAAATTATTCCATTTCTCAAATTACCTAGGTAATCTGCAGATTATCTAGGTAATCTACGAATTACCTACTAGGCACTCGGTAAAGTGAAAATAAGATCTTTGCTGGAACAACAGCAACGTTTCTGTCTGTACGCTTAAATTAACATAATGTTATTTATTTAATTTTCAATATCTGAAGAATAAAGTTAATACAATCAAACAATCAACAAAATAGTTGATTGAATCAATCATCAATCAATTAAAAAAACTTTAATACAAAAATCAAACGGTTTAAAATATTATTACAATTAGGGAAATGAATTTGCAAAACATATGA